ACCATGGTTCCCTGGTATTTACAAGGGAATCAGCATTCCAGGGCTTCTTAGGTGCAGGATTTTGTCCATCCACAGTATGAGCCATCACCAACTTAAGGTGCAAACATGGAATATCTCTGGAGGCTTCCTGTTGAAGGGTCGCCTTCTTTTCCCAGGTTGTGGCCCCTATGTCGCCCGAATACATGTCCTTGCAGCGGAGTCGTTTCAAATCGACACGCTGAAGTGGAGTTAGCGGTTCCCGGCGAAAAACCTGCTCTTAGTGGATGGTTCCAGTTGTGGGAAGGTTGCTGGTCGCTTACACAAAGTTGCCTGGAACTGGGCCAAAATGATTGGAAGGGCGGTATGGCGCTCTTCACACTTTGGTCACGCCCAAAAAAGGATGGCCATGTTGGCCAATGAGCTGCATCCTTGAAAGGCACTTACTCCAGTCTAAGTAACGGAGTGGGGGGTGAGCTGTAACCGGCAAAGGCCGCGTTTGCAATCACAGTGACGGATACAGCTGGGAATGGTCAGGCTTGCCAATGAGCCGCAACCTAAGCAGGCTCATCCTCAAATCCGAGTGACGAAGTTGCACATCGTCACGTCTGCCAATAAGCTGCAACCTTCAAAGGCAGAATCCCCAATCACGGTGACTGAGCTGGGAATGGTAACTCTTGCCAATCCCTGAAAGGCGCTTCCTCTAATTTCACTCACGGAGTCACATTTACCAATGAGCTGCAGCCCACAAAGGAACATCCTCCAATCTGAGTAACTGAGTTGGGGATGGTCAAATCTGCCAATGAGCTGCAACCTTCAAAGGCAGAATCCCCAATCACGGTGACTGAGTTCGGAATGGTCACGTTTGCCATGGATCGGCAGCCCTGGAAGGCACTTCCTCCAATCTCGGTCACAGAGTCGGGAATGGTCACGTCTGACAATGAGCCGCAACCTTCAAAGGCACAATCCCCTATCACGGTGACTGAGCTGGGAATGGTAATTTTTGCCAATGAGCGGCAACCCTGAAAGGCGCTTCCTCCAATTTCACTCACAGAGTTTGGGATGGTCACATTTACCAATGAGCTGCAGCCCACAAAGGAACATCCTCCAATGTGAGTAACTGAGTTGGGGATGGTCAAATCTGCCAATGAGCTGCAACCTTCAAAGGCAGAATCCCCAATCACGGTGACTGAGTTGGGAATGGTCACGTTTGCCATTGATCGGCAGCCCTGGAAGGCACTTCCTCCAATCTCGGTCACAGAGTCGGGAATGGTCACGTCTGACAATGAGCCGCAACCTTCAAAGGCAAAATCCCCTATCACGGTGACTGAGCTGGGAATGGTAATTTTTGCCAATGAGCGGCAACCCTGAAAGGCGCTTCCTCTAATTTCACTCACAGAGTTTGGGATGGTCACATTTACCAATGAGCTGCAGCCCACAAAGGCACATCCTCCAATCTGAGTAACTGAGTTGGGGATGGTCAAATCTGCCAACGAGCGGCAACCTGCAAAGGCAGAATCCCCAATCACGGTGACTGAGTTTGGAATGGTCACGATTGCTAATAAGCTGCAACCTGCAAAGGCAAACTCCCCAATCACAGTGACTGAGCTCGGAATGGTCACGTATGCCAATGAGCTGCAACCTTCAAAGGCAGAGTCCCCAATCACAGTGACTGAGCTCGGAATGGTCACGTATGCCAATGAGCTGCAACCTTCAAAGGCAGAGTCCCCAATCACAGTGACCGAGTTGGGAATGGTCACATTTGCCAAGGAGCTGCAACCTCGGAAGGCACTTCCTCCAATGTGAGTGACTGAGTTGGGGATGTTCATGTTTGCCAATGAGCTGCAGCCTAAGAAGGAACAACCTCCAATCCGAGTGACTGAGTTGGGGATGGTCACGTTTGCCAATGAGCTGCAACGTACAAAGACAGCATCCACAATCACAGTGACTAAGTGGGGAATGGCCACTTCTGCCAGTGAGCTGCAGCCTAAGAAGGCACCTCTTCCAATCCGAGTCACAGAGTTGGGGATGGTCACGTTTGCCAATGAGCTACAATCTTGGAAGGCACCGTCTTCAATCCAGGTGATGGAGTCGGAGATATTTATTGTTGCCAATGAGCTGCAACCTTCAAAGGCAGATGCCCCAATCACAGTGACTGAGTTGGACATGGTCAAGTCTGCCAACGAGTTGCAACCTTCAAAGGCCCTTGCTTCAATCCGACTCACGCTTCCTGGGATTTCCACTACCTGCAAATCCTTGGGCTCAACCCTGGAGGTTTCGAGGCTTGAGCACGTCACCGGCTTGATGCTGAGGAAAGCCAGAACTTCCGCTCCTGAAATGGCCTCCGACAACATCTCTTCGTTATTCAACGGGACCTGTCTCCAACAATCACCTCCACCACGCTGATGTTGCGCTTTGATTCGTCTGCGCAGGGCAGCCACCCGTGCAGCTGCCGCTTGAACTCACCGACAGTCATGTCCGGAAACACTTGGAATGACTCTTCCTCCCCAGACAGCTGTCGCACCGCAATCTCTTTTGCCATGGCAGAACTTTACTCTTGTCTAGCAAACGCTGCTTGAAACGATCTTATGGTAAACTTGCTCTGAGCCTGCTGCTTTCCGGCTTGTTGGCTCAGCAATGATGTTCCGGATGTGGGGGTGCTTGGGCGCAGCGTTGAACCATGCTTTGCCTGAGTTAGCCCAGGTGCAGTCCATGCCTTTTAAGTCACACTGAAAACTGAACGGCGGTATCCTCAACACCCCACACCACACACACACACACATGGGTGTCGGGCAGGTTCTAGTTTGGGTGAGGTCTGGTGAAAAAAACAATATATTAAACAAACACTGGCAAACAACAAGGAACGAGCGCCCCCTCTTCTTTTGCTGTCTGTGCAAAAGGGATCCTCGCTGTGACACTCTTGGGACACCTTTCCAATTCGGAACATTGGGAAAAGGGTTGACCCCATGCTGACAGCACCAACTTCTCCGAGTAAGAATTTTGAGTTTGAGGAAAAAACATGTTTTTTTGGGTTTTGTTTCACCTTCAGAACCAGGCCAACAAGGACACCGAAGGCAGTCTTGTCAACCAACAGGTCGCACCAATCACTGCAAGAGGTCACTTCAGGGCGCCAAATCGCGCCAAATCAGCCTTATGAATGTTCACTACGGCGGGAAACGAGTCCCATTAAGGGCGCTCATGAAGTGAAAACCCCTTCCCTCAACCTGGCACCCCTTGACAAGTTTGGTCCAACGCATCTGTCGTTCGGGTTCCCTGAGGAACCCTTATCTAGGTCCTCCAGTGGAGAGGTTAGAATAAGGGTACCATTTCTTTTCTGTAGTCTATTTTAGTAGGGGAACCTTCCCCACCCAAAAAGTTGGTAAAAGGGCACCTAGCTGGGGGACCTGGCTTATGGTTGTCTAACTTCAAGGCCTACCGAGATGTTTCCATGTGCATAAGCCCCAGCCAATCCTGTCCGGAACGCTCAAAGAGAAGTGAGGGTCGATGAAAACCCCACTCCGCTGTGAAAATGATTCTCAGGAAAGGACCTCCGGAACATTTGCATTTTCGCCTGAACCTAAAGATAAGATCTGTCCGGTGATAGTGTCCCTTGACGGAAAGAACCTGTCCAGTTCGAAAGATTCCTTTTAAAACCAGGGACAATAAATTGATCAAGCGAACTTGTTGTTCTGTTTTTTTTGTTTTTCCGCGAATCGGTGAGTTCGCCATAGGAAATCCTGCGACCCTCGATGGCCATGTTTGAAGGGTCAAACAAGCATAAAAACCAGGAAAAAACCTTTCCAGTGAAGAAAAGAGACTCAGTTGAGTAATGTCAAGGCTTCCTGTTTACCACACAAATCACCGGACAAAAAAAGGTGATCACTTCTTGGAATGAGGGAAGGTCATGTCAGGTCAATTTGTCGTGGTTAGTGCGACATCTCAAAAGTTGTTTCGCAGAAACTCGAAGTTTTCGAGAATCGGACGGAGGTTGGTCGAAACGTCCAATGAAACCTAAGGCGCAACGGGATCTTGGGACCTGGGCTCGGCCGGCTTCTTGGAGCCAATGGGGCTATGGCTTGAGGGCTACCCTCGTTGAAAACTCACTCGGATCCATCCGCGACTGGCGAGTTTCGACTCGTTGAAAACCCGTGCCTCAAACCGCAAGCCGAAGAAAAACCACTCGTGCGAGATAAATTCAGGTACCACCGAAATGGGCCAGTCTCGTCCTTTTTTGGTCCATGCGCTCAAAATCCCAAAAGCCAGCAACAGTGACGGAAAAAAGCGATCGCAACTTGGCCATCTAGGTTGGTTCTAGGCACTTCTCACTTTCGTGACTTGGCCAAGAAAGGCCAATAGCTTCTTATTCGCAATTACCCGAAGACCAAAAACTGTCAAGCCCAGGAACCCGATCGGTGAACAAAAAGGGCCCAGTAGGAAATCCAAAACAGACCCCAAGACTTGGGTGTTCTGCCAAGATAAACGAAGTGGTTGGCAAAACAAGTTACGAACTACACATTTGCGTCCTCAAGTGGAGTTGGCCTGGTAAGTAGGCAACAATCTACCTGGACCCTCAAACTACCCTGAAAGTCCGTTATTGCAACACAACGGATTTTGGTGGGTAGTTGCCCCTTTTTCAGATTGTTTTTTTAATCGGGTCCAGATACTCTCTCAGCTCACGAACATTGCCGAACACCCAAGTAATGTTAACCCCATAGTAATCAACCAACCAGTGTATAAATAGGTAGGTTGTTTTTGGCCCGCCAAAAGTGGTCTGATTCCCCACCTATCCAAACACCCCCTACAAATCAAGAGTCCAGATCAACTGGTTGGTTGATTTGCTGTGGGGTCAACATTAACTAGGGTCCTCCAGTAAAGAAGTTAGAATAAGGGTACCTTTTTTTTGTGGTCTATCTTAGTAGGGAACCCTCCCTCAGTAATCAAAGCAAACCACAAAAGTTGGACGGTTTATCTCGGGGTCAGACTCCATGTCTCATTTCCTGAACAAGCGTTTGCCGATTTCGGTCCTTGTTCTCTTTCACCTTTTGCAGCCTCTCCTGTGATGCCTGGAAAGCGCAAAAGGCCGCGTTTTTTTCTCCAGAATCCGGCCCCCCAAAAAAATGGTGGTTGCTCCTTCCGGTGTCCCTTCAAAAAAAAAACGAAGCGGCGGTGCCCTCAAAAAAAATACGACACCTGCAAATTGAAAACCTGGAAGGCGCCAAAACCTTGCCGGTGGCCCTCGCAAAACTAAAGGGATGAAGGTGATTTTGTTCTACAATGGATACTGTGGGTGGATGAAATCCATCTCGCACAACTTTGAAACGAGTGACATATTCCCTTGTTGGCATTTACATTTAAACATCAAATCATGCCAGGGGTCTCGGAACGGTGGATTTCGCGAGAAGCGGATTTCGGAACCATCCACAGTATCAATACAATGGCTTACCCAAAGTAAAAGAGTCGCACGGCTGAGGCTATCCCAAACCTTCATCTACCTTCCGGGGTTCAGTTGCCATTGAAACAAAGGGGGTGCCTGTAACAACCGTCCTTACCTACACCCTGGGGTTCAACCCCCATTAAAACAAAGGCAAGGACCCAATTTAGATGACAATCTTTAGGTAAATCATGGTGGCGAAATATGAACCCAACCATTGTTTTAAAGGTTGTTTGAACCCCAGGGTACAAGTAAGTTCCATCCAAATTGGGTCCCCCAAAAAGCCCCGCATGCTTTTCCTGGCGAGGATCCCTCGAATCACATTTGATGGGCTCGCGGGATTAGGCCGCTGGAACAATCGAGGGGTGCGAGGCACCTTCTTAGGGATCCGAGTCTGTCTGGAAAATCGCCAGGGAAACCCGGGAAAACGGATCTGGTGTTCGAAAAGGACGATGCTTGAAAAGAATAGAACAGGAATCAACCCCGAATTTAGTAAAAACAAGGGCACATGTGAGAAGCGCATCGGCGAGCGCACAAAGTTTGCCCAAGGCAGCTTAAAGGACAATACTAATCTAGGTCCTGCAGTAGAGAGCTTAGAATAAGTTGGTAGCAACTTTTTTTCTGCAGTCTAGTTTAGATTAGTAGGGGAACCCTCCCCCAAAGAAGGGTAAAAGGGCACTACTGGGGGACCTAGTAGTAATTCCCGGGCCCCAGCTGACTTCACCCCAATGAAAGACTCGACATTAGCCAATGATCAGCCCCAGGTACCAGTACCAGAACATTTTTGTCCGATTGGGCCACCCGGAAAAACCGGAAACAGGCTTCCATTTGGTAAAGGCCCAAGGAAAAAAAAAATGTCCAGTAGTGATGAATTAATTCCTTTTGCACCCAACTAGGGAAAATGACAAATATTCTTAAGCAAATGGAGGCAGGGGGTAAGCACGAAAAGCGGAATACTTCGTTGGGTGTTGAGAAAGCTCAATGCCCACGAGGTGTAAGCCCTGGTTGCAAGCAAACCTTCTACGCACTTGAGAAGATTTGTCGAACAAAAACAAACAGCTAAACTAAAAAGGGCCAAGCCCAAACATACCCAGGCCGTGAGTTTAACATGTGTGTGTGTGTGTCTTTCTTGAGGGCACCCAGTTTGAAGCGGGAAACTACAAGACAAACCACCCATGGGGTCCCTGAAAAGAAACAAGGACTTGGGGTTCTCGATCCAAGCACGACCAAAAATGGTCATCCAGCGCATATCCTGCAACATGTCCGGCATACAGCTGCCATCTGCGTAGAGGTCTCGGCGGCTCTCGCAAGGATGAGCGCCTGCTGAGTTGGTCGGGCCATTGATGTGGTGCTCGCCGCCTACCAGCACCAGCGATCGCCGCCGCCCCAGCGAACTTCAAAACCGACAAGTCGGCTTGCATCGGGCCCCGGCGGTCGGCCTTTCACCCATGAAGAGCCAGCTGATGCTTCGAGGACACTTGGCTCACAGATTCACAGAAGGCTCTTGCTGAATTCGCCGCACAAGCATACCTTGCTGGTGCAATGAGTAGGCAATAATAAAACCTGGGGTCCCCTTAAAGGAAACCACCAGTTGGATGGTTTAGGGGTCATTCCATTTCTCATTCCCTGCATCTCTCGCACCAGCAAGTTACCTACCCTTATGCCCAGTCCACCTCGCATGTGACTCAGACGGGAGCTCTTAGAGCTCTTAGATTTGACTTGGGGCAGAATGGCTGGATCCAAAGGTGTCCGAACTGAACTCCATGGACACTCTGGTGATCTCTGGTGATCTCTGGCCAGCATTTCCTAGTGAGTAAACTGAGTAGCCCTTAATTTGGTGAGGAAACGCTTTCGTGTGTGCGTGGGAACGAAAAAGGCAAGAGGCAAAGGGCGGCATTGATCTTCTGGCACGGGATCCGTGCTTCATGGGCCATCTAAATGGACTCATGCTCAAAGGTGCTTGGACATGTGTTTGGTTGAGTGAGCAAAACGGGGCAATGCGCATTCAGTGTTGACATCTCGTCAGCTGGACGTTGGGTAACAGGGTCCCCGTCAAAAGATGCATCCTATCGTCGTCTGCTTTCGAAGGAGATCCTCTACGCTGGTAAGTGTGTGATGGCCAAAATGTACTGCGAATTAACATAGGACCCCAGAAAGGGTCGCCCAAAACGGAGACTCCTCTTGGGGAAAAGGTTGCCTGGGCGCCATGTCAATGCGTAGAGCCAACTTTCGTTGGGACCGCATCCTTGAGCAAACCTCCCATGGGATTGATCTTCTTTTGGGCACCGGATCCCTAAGGGGAGTGGGGCTTAAGGTCTCCCAGTTTATCTAGTCTTCCCGTAAAAGGGAAGTGGAACCAAATGGGATTCTAAGGCGCTGGGGATCTCCCGATCTCCCCCCCCGCTCCAGAAGTTGCAGAGGCAATTTTCCAGTGACTCCATTTTGCTCCGGTTTTCCTAAGTGGCACCCCAAAATCCAGCCTAAGTGGCACCGAAAACAAACCCACTACAGACGCGCTGGACCCAGGTCCGGAGCTGAGTCACGGTGTTCTCTTGGTCTAGTGAGTCAATCACCTGGGGTTCCTTGCCCCAAGGGCGCCGAACTGAACCGGCCACGCCAGGCAGTGCCTTTTAACGGCTTGCCCTTTTGCTTTTTTCTTCCTTGTCCCTTTCAACTTCCAAAAGCTTGGACAATCTTGCAGGCTCGGATCAGTCTCAAGTAAGATGGTTGATTTCCTTTTATTTTCACGAGTTTCATCTGGGAGTCCTATCAGCTTTCCATTTGGTTTTCCATTGGTTTTCCAAACAAAAAGACGATTCCCCCCAACGGTGAGAAAGGGCACCAATTGCTGGGGGGGCCTGGTCATACTGCACAGGTTCTGAACGACCCACCGGTGCGGTGCCATGTGGCCGGCCGAATCGGGGGAGAGGCTGCCTGGACCTTCTCCGCGGCGCTGCGCTGCAAGGACTCGAGCTCCTCGCACAAGTGGGCCAAGGCTTTGAGACCAAACACCCGCGCAAAGCTCGAGGAGCCTCTGGGTCCAGAAACAGAAGGGGGAAAAGAAGGGGGAGGGGGAAATAAAGCCTTAAGCCCTTAAAAAGGCCTTATTTAGGGCTTTGGCCTCCCTCCTAGGACATATTTGTGATCCCGTTACGATAGGGGAAGGAGGAATGGAATGAACGCTCTAAACCGTCCCGAAGTGGGGAAGAAAAGGCCGCTCTTTTGGGGGCAGTTGACTTTACTTGCGATCGGTGCGGTAGGATGAGCCGCTTTGGGGTCCCCAAACAAAGGAAACCACCAGTTGAATGTTGTTTCTTGGGGTAACTCCATTTCTGATTCCTTACTGAGCACCGGCGAGAAAAAGAACCAATGAAACGACGCATCATGACACGAATTTGCATTGGAGGGGGGGGGGAAGGCGGGGCGGAGGGGCCCATCATATATATAAATATATATTATAGATATGGGCTGCACGTGAATTGGTGTTTGAAGGGAAACCCAATGGAACCACACTTACCCCAAGCGTACATACCCTAAAATCAGTTGTTGTAACCTGGCTATGGAGGAGTCGCACTACCACCAACAAGGCGAGGGATGTTTCTTTGGGGTATGTCAGTAAAAGGACAACCTTCGAGAACAACACGAACTGCCACCAGGCAGTTTCAGTGGGAAAGCAATTCACTGTTCAAAAGGTAGAAACACGGAACACTGGAACCCAAAAGCACTAGTTGCGAACATTCATCTTACGACAATTCAGAAACTTGAAAGCTCAGGCTAGCCCTGAAATAGCCTTCATGGGCGAGCCTCGTTTTTTATGTGTGAGGATCCACTGAGTCCTCCAGTAGAGAGGTTAGAATAAGGATACCCTTTTTTTGTGTGGTCTGTTTTAGCAGGGGAACCCTCCCCCAAAAAAGGGTAAAAGGGCACTACTGGGGCAAACTGCGTCCCGTGGGCATATTTGTCCAGTGGCCATCCTTAAAGCCGGCCAACGTTGTCAATCTGCAGCGCAAGCAAAAGAAGGGCACACGCTTTGAAGGGTACCAATTTCCGGTTTGTTTTAAAGAGAAGACAAAAGAAAGCCGAAGCCACTTTTGAGGTTGTCTAAAGGTCCCGATTTTTGTTGGGCCCTCAAAATCTTGTTTCCAAGCACCCCTAAGGAATTGGTCGCTGTGGGTTCTCCATTGGAGGACCCCTTTTGGGGCCAGGTCATGAGCCTCAGGGTCGGAACTTTAGAGCCGCAAGCTTGAAACTGCTATCCCCTAACAGGGATCCGGATGCATTATACACCTGAACATTGCAACTTGTAAATGGTGGATTCCAGCTTTATTTTGGTGTTGAAAAAGCAACATGTTTCAAATGGTTACGCAAAATGGAGATCTTTTAAGGAGCCCTGCCTAACCTTGCGGGGAGGGAATTTGTGAAAGGGGGGTCTGCCATTCTTCCGAGTCTTCCCATGATGGATGTGTGTTTTTTGAGGGAGTAGGCTTTAAGGGACACCGATAGGAAAACCACAATCTTTGTGGGGGTGAGAGGAACTCACCACATCCGCCCGTCATCGCCGAAACGACGAGGACCGTCATGTTGGTGGGGCATCCCGCAGTTTGATCCACACACACACACAGACACACACGCACACACACACACACACACCACACACCACACACCACACACCACACACCATACACCACAAACCACACACCATCAACCACACACCATCAACCACACACCACACACCGCACACCACACACCACACATGCACACACCTAGGTCCTCCAGTAGAGAGGTTAGAAAAAGGGTGCCTTTTTTTCCGTAGTCTATTTCAGTAGGGGAACCCTCCCCCAAAAAAGAAACGGTAAAAGGGCACCTAGCTGGGGACCTAGACACCCAAATGCATCTGAAGAGGGACTTCAGGGGGTCGCATTTCCAAAAAGATGTGGATGGTCCTGCAGTCGGTTCTCGGCAAAGGAGATGTCGCGTCGGTACCTCAGGACGAACCCCGAGAGTGCCTAATGTCAACCCAGGATTCTAAAACACCCTGGTGGATTTTGCTGGGTGCCCCATTCAGGGGATCTCTTTTTGCGGTCGTGCCCAAAACAGCTGGATTAAAATCAGATTCTCTCGAATCGGTGGTTTGGATTGTTTGGAGGATAGGAGGTACCCCAAACCACCAATTTACGGCAAAACATTATAGGACTTTGACTATTTGTGGGTGGTCTTAAAAGGGAAACCAAAAGGATTCTGGGGGTTTCCCTGTTTTGACACAGACCCAAGTACAAGAAGCTGTGTCTGCTGCACACAAAAGCTATCTGCAGCACAGAAGAGAAATGCGGGCCTGCCATGAATCATAGGAAGTTAGCGCCTCCACTTTGCAGATCCGTGACTACTCCAAATTGACCCTCCGGGCCCGTTTCGTCCAAGCTGACTCTTGGTGCTACCAAGGTGGCTATGAAAGGTCTATATAGGCCTCATATATGAAAATCCATGTTAAACCAGGCAGAATTCCGAATCTTAAAACCACCAAATAAAATTGCATTTGTGGGTCTTTGGGCGCTGTTCAAATGAGGTTTAAATGACCGAAGTGAAGAATCTTCGAACCTGGTCAAATCCTCAGGTTCCGTATTCCTTGAAAAGCGAGCGGGGGGGAGGGGTAGGACATAACCGTATCTCTTGTGAGAAGCCATAGTTTGAACCTCCTACTGTAGATGGACAAAATCCTGCACCACCTAAGAAACCCTGGCTTTTGATGAGTCCCTGTAAATACCAACAAATAATGTTTCCCATGGTTTCTTAGGTGGTGCGAAATGGATTTCGTCCATCCACAGTCTGTTTTATGACTCGACTGTCCATGTGGTTTGGCTGAAACGATCTGTGTAGCGCCCACTGGTCCTTGGGCCTCATTTGAGTCACAATCAAAACCCAGTATTAAAATGGTCTACCCAGAACCATGGTTCAAGAATTAAGAAGGCGGGTATCCGCAACTATTTCTGGCTGGGACTGCCCCTTACTAACCTAACCATCTACCCGGGTTTTCATTGTGAATGTGAGGATTCTGCTCAGAATGAGGAGAATGGGAGCTCCAGTGGTCTGTTCAACGACGATTCCAGGGACGATTTCAGGGTCTACCGAGCACGTGGCTCATTTCGGGCGCCCCGTTGGGCATTCGCTTGCGGAGGCTTCGTGTCATGAGTCCGTGCGAAATAGTCTGCGCCAGTGCGCTCCCGCAAAAAGAAACATCCGAATTGGGGCATAGCTCAAGTTTAAACAAAAAACAGATCTGGGCTGCCTGTTTTCTGATCCCCTAACAGTTTTTTTCAACTTTTAGTGGGTGAAATGGAAACTACCACTAAGCACTAAAAGGCTGATGGCTGGGAGCCACCAAGATATCATATCCGTAGACCTCCAAAGCTTCAGTTCACTATGGACGAACTCCGTTCGCACCTAAGAATCCCTAGAATGATATATGATCCCCTGCAAATACCAACAAACAAACCCTGGGGTTCAACCCCCATTAAAGAAAGGTTGACCCAATTTAGAACCCCCCATTGTTTTAAAGGTTGTTTGAACCCCAGGGCAAAGGTTTCCCATGTCTTGGGTGCAACATTTTGTTCATCAGTATGCGTGAGTTGGAGGCACCCAGCTGGGAACATCTCAACCAGAAGGCCGCTGGGCAACTGGCTGATCCAGGTCTCGTTTCAGCTCCTCGAGCCTGCGGATGCTCTCAGATGCTTCCACCCCAAAACCAGCCCCAAACCCAGGGGTTCAATTGGATACAACACCAGTATAGCCGCCAAAAGGATGATCCAGTGGCTTGGGGTGGAAACCATGTTAAATTTACCGCTTTCACCAGAAAGCAAGTAGGTGATTTTGCCATGGTGGTACTGGGACTAGCCCGAGATACTCCAGCAAATAATAACCTTAGTCGAAAGCTACGTTCCAGGTTGCTTGAACTGTCACAAAAGGGGCCCTACAAACGGCGGTGTTGTTTTTGGTTTCCCCGCACACCCATCATTTTGTTTGTCCCAAACAAAGGACAAACCCAATAAGGATCAACCTGGGGTTTACGAATCCTGGGCCAACATTCGAAAGTCGTTGCTGTGGAAACCCCAGTACACATGGCATCATTGATTGAACAAAAACGGCGAATATTGTCCCTAGATTTCCGTGTCCCCATAAAAAGAATGCCCCAAGGAGCCTGAATTTGGATGATGAAACTCCTGAAGGGTAGACAAAGGTGGTTACAACCCCTTTAGTTTCAATGGTAGTTTGAACCCAAGGGGAATATTGTGGCTCCTTTTCTTCAATTCGTGAAAAGCTTTAGTTTGAACAATAGCTGCAATAATAGTCTGCATGAACTGTCTTTGCATGGTGCTTCCGAATCACCACAAGCTGGTTCCCCGCAATCCCAAATCGCGTCTTGTAAAACCATCCCACCAACTTAAGATATCCCAACAGCCACAAGAAAACAGGCCACCAACACCTAACTTGCTGACAAACCCTCCCTGGAAAATGATTTCTTTGGGGAGAGGAAGCCTGGGCACTTCGATGTTTGGTGAGGTCCGGAGTCTATCCGGGATAGCTGTCAGCTGGGAAAACATTGGGGGCCATCTTAGACCCGAAAAATGGTGGTTGATCAAAAGGTTCTTTGCATGGGATGACCATCGGGAAAAACCACTAAAATGATGATATGTTGAAGAAGCCACCCATGGTCATTTGGGGGTCAGGAATACTGATCAACCCGCAACACTACTACCTCCGGGTTACTGCCCCGAGCCCGCAATCTGCAACCGCTCCCGGCCCATAAACAAGCTTCACGATGGAAGTGAAACTAGGCTTTTTAGTGGAGAGGTTAGAATAAGGGTATACCCTTTTTTTCCCGTAGTCTATTTTTAGCAGGAGAACCCTCCCCCAAAAAAGAAACGGTCAAAGGGCACCTAGCTGGGGGACCTAGGACACCTTCCGGGCGGGATCCAGAGGCCACTGCAATTGCAGCTCTCGCCATCCGGCATGTTGATTGGGATGCGCGCTTTCCGGCCCAGCTGGCACCGCTCTGTAAACTGTAAACGTTGTAGGGGCCAAGCATGCCTTCGTGTGGGTTTTCTGGCCGTATGAGAGGCAGCCCCAAGCCAGGAATAGGTCGGCATATGCTGCAGCACACGTCCATGATGACACCCATGCAGAAGCTTGGCCCTGCAGAAGCTTGGCGGGTACAAATGCTTGCCCACTGCGGGGCCAAAGCTTTCAGGCATAACAGAAAAGCGCTAGTTTCCGTTTCAAGTAAAGCATGTTTCTGCAGGTTGTTTTGTTGCAACCCCAACAAGTCACTGAACTCTGCAAAAAAATACCTGACACGGGGAAGCTCTTTAAAAGACGAGCTCCGCCTTCCTGGTCAGTAGTCTCAACCGCAAAGCAGTGCACTCTGAAACTAACATCATCTCAGAGGCTCGATCAAACATGCGCGTACCGGACATGGGACACTTTGAGAGTTCCCTGTTTATGTTTGATATTTCGTGATCGCCGGTGAGTCATGTCTAGTGATCCCAAATTCGAATAAACAACAGACCCTGTGTGGCACTGGATTTCCCCTTCAGAAGTTGCACTTGTTTGGTGGTTTCCCTTGAAGCGATCGCCACTTTGGAGGTTCTCTTCAAAGGAAAATGGCTCGGAAACCCGTGACAGTGAGTTGTTTGCCCGAATTTCCTGGCCAGCCCAGCAGATGTTACCTTTTACTGAGGCTATGTCTGTCCTCGTTCTTTCCACAACTAATTCAATTGCTTGACATATGTTCTCGTTTTTCTCTGGGACGTAAAATAGTTGATTCTTCATATCGAACTTCCCTCCGGGGGCCAATGACGAATCCTGAAAACAAAAAACACCGAACCGATCTCCGGAGTTGGTTATGATTCCCGGTAAAGGAACACAAAGGACACACAAAAGGATGCAAAAGGATACAACAGGGCACCCTAGGGTTCCTTGCCCCCCAATAAAAGATGTGCAAGAACCTCATTTGGATGATGAACCCCCCTTTGTTTTGATGGTGGCAACTGAACCCCGAGGGGCAGAAGGGCATCCTGGCAATGCTGGACTCTTAGCTCCGACATCTTGGCTCAACCCGATGTCTCACTTCCGACCGAGTAGATCAGCCAAAAGGCAAGTCTAAACTTGTTGTTTACCAGCAAAATGGTCTTCCCACAAAGTTTGAAGCAGAATCTTAGGGAGTGAGTTGTTCAGATCCTGCTTCAAATTTAGCCTGGCTCTTGAAGCGGTTAAGTATGGCTGAGATAGGCTGGATCTTGGTCAAGTACTGTGGATTGACGAAATCCTGCACCACCTAAGAAACCACGACATAGCATCATGTTAGATTGTGGTTTTCCAACCAATGGTCATCTCATGTTTATCGGACGATTTGAGCAACCCCCATACTGTGGATGGACGAAATACATTTCGCTCCATTTGAAAACTATGGAAAACCTTTTTTTGTTGTTATTTACAAGGGAATCATCATTCCAAGGTTTCTTAGGCGGTGCAGAATTTCGTCCATCCACAGTAGGATGCCACAATCATGATGGTGTCTTTTTGGCGCAAGCTGCAACCAGTTTTCCAGAACCTGTTAAACGGATCCACTTGTAGATGGCTCTTCATATTTCATCTACCTCATTAACAAATAAGGGTGCCATCTTTTTTAGGGGACCCCTCCCAAATTGCAGTTTTCCCGTTGGTTTCCCTGCAAAACTTCTACAAGCGGGTACCCCAAAAAACAGACCCATATTGGGGTTGATCAATATTCCTGGCCCCTGAATAACCACGGGTAACTTCCCCATTTAATGGGACATAGCATCATGTTAGTTTGTGGTTTTCCAACCAATGGTCATCTCATGTTTATCGGACAACTTGATCAACCCCCATACTGTGGATGGACGAAATACATTTCGCTCCATTTGGAACTATGGAAAACCTTTGTTTGCTGGTATGTACTGGGGATTCATATCATTCCAGGGTTTCTGACTGGTGCCAAATGGCCATGGGTCAAAATCCCGTACCCCCAGTGAACATCCCAATCCCCCCTAAAATCGACTAAAATGGGTGGTGCACCTACCCCAAAATGGTACCATTGGTTTTGACCCACAACTCAAGACCATTTTGGTCTTCCAAGGACCCGCAAAGCCAGGGTCCTGCTTGACTTTGATCTTGGCTCCAAATGGAAATTCGGCCGAAGGCAACTGAGTTCTCCAGGGTCCTGCAAGATCATTCTAGGGGTAACTTCCCCATTCTTTCCAGGGATCCTTCTTTCTAGAAAACCACCAAACACTTTGGGAAATGGCTGGTTTTTGAAAAGAACGATGGCTGAAAAGAATGGGGAATCAACCCCTAGAATCAAGGTATGTTTTGCGAGGAGCATCCGCGCCACGTCAACCGCCTCGAGTTGCGATTCGAATCGCCTGGTAGACCGGAAGCGCTGCTCCGCTCGAGTCTCTTGGGCGCGTGCTTGCCGCAGGAAATCCTCGCTCAAAGTGGGGACACCCTTTTTGGACGGTACAGGGAAATCAAAAGGGCAACCAAAAGCAACTTTGAAGGCCCCCTAAACAAACAAAAAACATGTGCTTCTTGGCTGGTTTCCTGACTTTCGTAGTGTTTGCCTGGAATTTGCTTCGCATTTCTTTGGTGTCCCCCCTTTGGTTTCTTCTTGGAGTACGTTCGATGCCTTTGCTTTACTCGAATTTGGCGTTGGTCTGCTTTCCTTTGGTATTTTTGCCCTGGGTTAGGTTGACGTGGCTTTTGCCTTGTTGGATGTTGCACGTACTTGGCGTAAGTAGCCCAGTGTCTGGGGCTGCAAATGCTCAGTGTCACTGCCCCGCTCTAAACCACTCCCAGACTAAATATCTGCAAACCCAATACTGTGGATGGGCAAAATCCTGCACCACCTAAGAATGTCTGGCTTTTGATGATTCCCCTGTTAATACGTGCAGGAATTCGTCCATCCACAGTAGGACCCATTTATCAAAGTGACTTCATGCTCAATTCACTTAAGCAGGTTGTAATCCTATACCCCGGTGGCCAAGGCAAACAAAAAGGAGCGCTGCTCTTTCTTTGATCATATAGGGATGCCCTCCAAAAAAGGAAGAACAAAACAACCCACGCAAGGCACGAGCTGCGGACATCCCACTTACAGATATACTCCGTGGGCACATGAAAATGCTTACATTCTTCAGCGTACCTCTGGTTGCTGTTCAAGGCAAACCAAAAAGGAAAAGCCAAGCCATGGTTTTGGGGGTCCGATTCCTAAGAAAGACACACACATCCAAAGAGGTCAGCCACAAACGCGCCGCAAAGAGCACAGAGGGTGCCCCTGACCTCAGCAGTCCGCCTTGAAAAACACAAAGGAGCACCTTTCAGAAAAAGGAATAAAACCCATGAAAGGCTTTTATTGAGCCCCCCATGTCTTCCCTTCAAAACCAGGTCGGAACCGAACCACCTAATAAGTTTGCGGGTGTTTTGGGCGAGCTCGCCTGGCACGAAATGGGAGAACTGTGGTCTAGTTGGCACCAACCAGTCGTCAGCTCTGGCTGACCAGTGGGTTGATTGGGCTGCTTGTGACTCAATCCTATTCACCTAGTGAGTTGGATTTTATGATCGCATTTCCTAGCTAAAAAAATAAATCGAACATGGTGATCAACCAATTTGCAGATTTCAACCAGTGCATTTCCAAAACACCTTAGAAAGCTTCACGGAATCGAAGATCAACTGGTGGGGTCAACTGGTTCAAGAAGCCATGCTGGTGGCTTCCTTGCAATGGAACCTGCCTTTTAGTTCACTCACCCCAAGAAGATTCCACCGGGAATTGCCTCCCGGTCCCCTTTTAGCGAAAACAAAGGACCACCATAAATTGGGCGAAGCCTTCGGAGCCCCATGACATCTCCAAAACAGGTCTCCGAACATAGAGTTTCAGCATGGCCCTTTCACGGAATCCGAAGAGTAAATCCCAGTTGCCCTTTCACGACAGGACTCTCTTGTTCCACAGGATCTTGAACTTAAAAAGCAAAGTCCAACCACGCGAAGTTGCAGGACGAGCGAAGCCTGGCAACTGTCAACCTGAACCGAGGTAACTGGAAAAGAGCGGGGTCACAACTAGGCCCTCCGCTGGAGAGGTTAGAATAAGGGTCCCTTTTTGCGGTAGTCTATTTTAGTATAGGGGAATCCTCCCCCAAAAAGAAACGGTACAAGGGAACTACTGGGGACCTGGACAATGTGCTGGTGGCTTCCAAGGATCGCCACTTTCGGAGGTTCCATTTGTTTCCATGTCCAAAAAGTCACAAGGCCATCGGCATTCAGCGACATGGCAATCAGATTCACGGGGCTTTGGGGCAATTGACTTTGGAGCTTCCCTAACGGAAATGAGTCATCAAAACTCGGTATTAAATGGTCGTAATCCTAGAACCATGGTAACACTGATATCCGCAGCGGATTGTCCCTTACTAACCAAACCATCTACCTGTTTTGTTCTTTGAGCCCGTGGCTCATTTGTAAATGGCAACGTTTCAAGTACCGGGCCATACCTCGAGTTGATCGGCAACAAAAATCGTCGACCAAACTTGTTGTTTGCCACCAAAATGGTCCAAACCCAAAACGGAAATGAAGGACACCCGGCACCGGCGAGATCTCTTTGTCTCCAAAACCGCTTCCGCCTATCCTCGTACTGCTCCACTTCCGCCTGGACGTGCTGCTTCCGCCGCTCCTCCTTCAACATCACCTGGCGTGCTCCACCTCCCGAACAAAACCAACTGTACATAATACCAGGCTAAATCACGATATAGTGAGCAACAATCACTCAGGGATTTGCAAGGAAGCGGGGCCACAACTAAAAGTCCATGCGCAAACTGATTGCTACGCATTGCGACTTTCCAGTCCGTGGCATGGTCTTTCGTTTTGCTGCCCTCTAATAAAAATGAACATCACCCAAAATCCTAAAAATCAAAAACCTGCCCACAACAGTGAAGTCATTATAAATTAAGGGGTCTCCTTGTTCCCTCACTTGTAACACAAGGCAAAAACATCCACCGTTCCAGTTGCGGCTTCCCTCAAAAAAGGGCCCGGTTTGGAGCCGTTTGGAGGTTGGGCGAGTTCTCATTTACCCACAAAAAACAAATGCTATCTTCTCCAAACCACCAACTAAGGGGTTACCTGAAATTTTTGCGTGGCTTCCCATTTGAAACCATCCAGAAGGGGCCCAAAAACCCGCAACGCCCCGACACAACTTCACTGCTTTTTGCCCACGTACAAAATCCCAAGCGCCCTACAAGCAGAGGTTGGGGCAGGGAGGAATGCTTCTCTAAATCCCGGGGTTTAGGACCAAAGTAAGCCGAGTAAGTAAATCGTCTTTTTCTTTTGACCATCGCAGTCACGGACACTACTGTGGATGGACGAATTCCTGCACCACCTAAGAAACCCTGACATGATGATTCCCCTGTAAATACCAACAAAACATGTCTTCAACCATGGTTTCCAAGTGGTGCAGGATTGTGTCCATCCAGACTATGACTTGGAGTTGGTTCAATTCTGCAGGCCCCCTACTTGACGTTGGGATATTGGTAGGCCTCCCTCCTCTCCAAATGAACAGACTACCACTATGGTCCGCTGCTCCTATGTGGTTTCGCCCCCAACAACAAAAACCAGGTGCTTTGCTTGTGGCTTTCCTTTCAACCAATCCTAAACAGGGCCAGACAGTTCCGATCTGCATAAAGCTAACTGTGTGCAAGCTGAAAGGGAAAATGAAGGAAAACCAAACGGAAAGTGAACAAGGAGAGCTTAGTCGGGCGCTGCAAAAAGGAGATTCCTGAAAAGTATACCTCGACTCTTGTTTGTCAATCAATAATCAGATGCTTGCTTCTGTCCATACTTAGCAGTCCAGTAGAGAGGTTAGAATAAGGATCCCAGGGGAACCCTCCCCCCGAAAAGGGTAAAAAGTCACTACTGGGGGACCTCGTGTTTTGCGTTCATTTACGCCCGGTTATGCACTTTCCCTCGATGTTGTTTGGGTTCCGGTTGGCTGGGTTGACATTGGTTCTCTTGTCGGATGTTCAACCCACTCGGAGGTTCTAGCCCAGCTTCAGATCCAGTCCTACAATTCGTTATCCAATTTGCCTCAGTCTTTGAATTCCGTAAAACAAGTTACACTGGCTGCATGTGGAAACACTGACTGTCCAACTGGGGGAGTTACACTTGTTGCACGTGGAAGCCCTGACTGTCCAAATGGTTCAATGGAAAAAGGCAAAAAAGAGCACAGCGATAAGCTACCAAACATCGTTGTGGCATTAGGGGGGCGGCTTTTTAAATGGGGATCCCCCCAAAATGGATTCGGTGTTCCTCTTGGTCTCCCTCTAAAACCACCAACAACGGGTACCTTCAAAAGCAACACACCCAGAGAGTGAAGCCAAGGTTTTCTGAAACCACCAATAGAGTCGGCTACCCTTGATGCGCGTGTCCCCTTTTTTCGAGGGGATCCACCCTTGCCCCCATAAAACGCAACCCCCCCATAATGGGGGGTCCCTCAGCTACAAAGAGATGACACGAATCGGGCGAACCTGCAGATGCCAACAAGATCAGCTCATCTCTAGAAACTCGCCAGTCCCTATGTCGTTCAAGGTTGCTTGGCATGTAAGGGACGGTTCTTAGAGCTCAGTTGGAGATGCAATTAGGGACTGCGGAAAATATCCCATGGCACACTGACACATGGCTTTGTCTGAAAAAAAGGGGGATCTCCCGTTCCGGTTCATGTCCCTTTACACTTTAAGCACTTCAAACACGGTATCATCATACAAACACACCCACGTGGAGCCTTTGGGATGAAAACCGACCCACCGCCACACGAGCCTCCTGGATGTCCTCCACACCTGGGCGTGTTGTTCCGAGATCACGCGATCATGCGGCAAACGTGGGCCCCTTATGTGGACACTGAGGGTCAATTTGTGAACTGGGTGGGTTCTTGCGGCATTGGGTGTTAGACAGTTTTTCTTTTGGGGGGGCATTGATTGTTTGGGGCCTACTGGGTTTTAGGGTATTGTAGGGCATGTTGCAACCTCGTTCTTCAGAGCACCGGGTGATTGGCTTTCTAAATGCAAGCGAAGTGTCCCTGGCGCCACCACCGACCCCCATGCATTGTTTTGCTTGTGCTAACACAAGGCAAATGCAATGTGCGCCCCTTCCCTATGTCTCCTTCCATCTAAAATTCCGAGGGGATGGGGATGGCCAAACGGACAATGTCCTCGCATAGGGCCCAAACGAGGATTATGGGAGGCGGATCAAGGAACGACTAAACCTACACAACACGTGCGGCCAACACTCATGGCGCCCTGAAAGCGGGGGCTTTCAAAACAAAAAAACTATCTGAGTGTTCCCCCGCAATGCCCCCAACCGAAAACCATGGGATTTGGAGATATAATCTCACATCATAGAGAGTAACAACGTAGATGTCCCAGTGAGTTGTTGGGCGACAAGTGCAGACCCCATTGCGAACTGGCTGTTACTCATCTGTCCACTTGTTGGACTTGGATGTTCGAAGCCGCTTACTAAACAGATCAGAACCAAAAAAAACACAAATCCTGAAGACTGGCCAATAAATGTGAAACCATATGGGTGTGGCTCAAAAAACCGGTACCCAAAATGGAACCCTGGTAAATGGAAACATGGACCAAAACCTGCGTAACCCCTCCTGTTAAATTTTGAGCCACACCCATATTGACTCACATTGCGATCCATGAACGTTGGACCTGAGACACCTTTTTCCAAACGTGAGGCACCCTTTTCCAACCTCCTAGTTGCTTCCATAGCCGGGAACGAGGCTACCGATGGGTGATGGTTGATGGTTGATGCAAGCAGCAACACCACCAAGCAAAGGTGTGTGAACTGCTAATGCGCAAACCGAAAGTGCTTGCTCACTACAGGCAGGGATGAGCATACATACCCTAGGTCCTCCAGTAGAGAAGGTAGAATAAGGGTACACTTTTTTTTCCGGTGTCTATTTTAGTAGGGGAACCCTCCCCCAAAAAAGTTAGTAAAAGGGCACTGCTGGGGATCTAGCCTCTTCATGAGCATTTGTGTCACAACCCAAAACCCTTGAAAGGTCGCACTCGTACATGCCGAGAAAACCTTTCACTGTGCGACATGCATGCAATCTCCCACCAAATGGGGTCGACAAGGGCTCATTTCCTGCGTGGATTTGCCCAACGAGTCCACACCCCAAGAGCTACTACAGTCCAGCAGCTCAGGAAGTGACAGGGGCCATAATGCTTTTGCACTCGCCAAACACCTGCCTGAAACCTTCAACCCTTTGAGGAAAAAGCAACAGCCGGGGATTTTTGTTCTTGCAGGAGAGCTGGACGTGCCTGCACCAGCCGGGAGCTCAAATATCCAAAACTCTGGGACACTGTCAGAGCTCGACCCAGAAGCCATCTGGCCCAGCATGGCTTCAACCGCCATCGCAAAAAGTGCCTGGAGTCTCCATGACCCTTAAAAAATTGTTGGTCATTACCCAAAATCAAGGGTTCACGGACCCATTTTTCAAGGGTCAGGGAGACTCCAAAATGCCTCACCTGCGGTCAATGGCACTGGCCTCTCGGCTCCAAAACTGGAACTCTTTCCCAGAACCGCTGAAGGTTGATGCCGTCTGACCGAGTCTGACCCATCTAGATTCGTGAACTCGGACGAAACAAACAACCCAGGTTGGGATGAGCATTGCGTATTGGGACGTTGAAGTTGATCGCGCTGGCCATGCCAAGCGGTGCTGCGCGCTCCCCCCACGACCAAACCAACCCAAAGATTGGTAGGACCATGCAACACAGCCCCAAGACCTTGTGTATGTGGACCCTCAAACTACCTTTAAAAACGGGGAAATCAAATGATTGCGAGCAATGACCACATGTTTAAGAGTACTGTGAGGGTCCGGGTGCATGACTGTCCCCTACGGTTGTCAAGGGCCCTAATCCCAATAAAAGCGAATAAAAGTGAATAGCGCCTACTAGGGTCTATTCGGGGCTAAAAGGGCTCTTTTTGGGGACAATTTCTACTTGGGGGGCCGGGGGGGGGGGGGGGGGGGGGGGGTTCCTGTAGACCTTAGGCACCACCGAAGCAACCATGGAATAAATTGGTTCCCCTGTAAGTACCAACAAACAGTGGTTTACAATGGTTTCAAATTGGTGCAGGATTTCGTCCATCCACAGTATCACCTGCATGTCTGTGTCTCTTTTTAGGGGACCCCGAAATGGGTTTGGCTTTTCGTGTGGCTTTCCTGTGAAACCACCAACAAGGTACCCTGAAAAGACATGTTGCCTGATTTGACCCAAGCAAAACAAACAAACAAACAAACAAACAAAACAAACAAACAAACAAACAAGAACGGCAAAGAAACAAAACCAAATCCAAAGAAACAAACACACAAACATACGAACCAACAATCAAACAAACAACCAACCAACCAAACAAACAAACAAACAAACAAACAAAAAAGAAGAAAATCAACGGAAGCCACTGGAATCAACCAAATGGTGTTTTACTGAAAAAGCAACAAACAAACAAAACAGACAAGACACCAAAAGCCTCTGCGTTCGAAACAAAACGGGACCCGTATCAAACCCCTTCGAAGCGCCCTGGTTGGTCTGCCCAGCTGCCCAGCTCCGAGTTCAGCTTCTGGAAGTGAGCGCGGCCTGCCTTCAGCAGCTCCCCCTGGTCGCTGGCTTTGGGCGAGCAAAAACGGGTGGGGGGGTGGGGTGGCTTGGGGGGTGGTGGGGTGGGTTGGGAGGTGGGTTGGGAGGTGGGGTTGGGGGGGGGGGTTGGAGTGGGGTGGGGTGGGGTGGGGGGTGAAAGGAGGGGATGGCACCCAGTTTGGGCGGGTCTTTCTATCAAGTTGCACTGGACATGAGGTTTTGTTTCCGGGCTTGATGTTTGGGCGGACTGGGTGGTTTTGACCAAGCAGTGATACGACCCACCAACACCGGGGTTCACACCTATTCTGAAACAAATGGAAGAATGTGGCCATGGGTCAAAAGCCAAATCGTACCCCAAGTGAACATCCCAATCCCCGCTAAAATAGACTAAAATGGCTGGTGCACCTACCCCAAAATGGCACCATTGGTTTTGACCCACAGCCCCATGTGTTTTCCCCTTTCGGCCTGTTGCCACTTTGTTGTTTTGACAACCATGTGGAGTGAGTTCCCGGCTTTACCTTGCGTTTGCAATCAAAAGCGAATGTTATTTCCGCGTTTTCTTTTCAATTGGAACCCAAGAAACGGGCAAGGACACCATGCTACGGGAAGTTGATGCAATAAAATATATCCGTTCAAAATTAATCGAAAGGGTACGCATGTGGCAGCAACATTGAACGTTATTCCGCAAAGCAATTGGTTTGGCTACCCAGCTTTTTTCAGCCCGCAACAGGGCTTCTCTTCCCCAAAAAAAAGTGACTCAAATTATGTTGCCCCGGCAAAGAAGCCGGTGCGGCCCCAGTGTTGGCAAGCACGTGTTGTCCACAGCCTCCAAATAAATGATTTTTACTTTGTGTTGCCCACTCTAAACTGCCAGAAGGGGCCCTAGTGTTGACACACAGCCCTGCTCAATCCTGTATGTTGTTCACATGTTATCCGTTGGCAAAGCAGTTTATAATATGTGGTCTGCGGTCACGGTTCCGTTACGCGTCACCCCTCCATGGCTGCCTAGACTTAAGAGTCCATGACCATCCCCAATGATCTCTAGAATCCATTAGTTTTGACCATGGCACATGCGATTGCGCCTTCCACCAACACTGAACACAGCCAGTTTCAGAATGAAAGTAATTACCTCACGTCACTGCGATCATAATGGCATCATTTGTTTCTGAAAAATACGCACACTTCATGTTGGCAGAGTAAGTAAGACAAACTCCTGTTTGGCACGGGCTTCCGCGCCTAAAGATACCCCCTCAAACATTCTAAAGCACAGGACGCAGTTCTGATGTTGCTCCCCATGGTCCTTGCAACTGCCGAATCTGCTGAGGTTTCCGACGTCTTGCGTCTGGCTCAGCTGCTTCAGGCGCCCAAGCCCCCGCTCCCACCCAAGGTGCGAGAATGGGCGGCCACTTGCGCGCACCCAAGGCACAAGGTAGCACGGGCCGAGCGGCCCTTCGCCCACCCAAGGCGCGAAAAGGGGCCAGGGCACAATCCCGCCCACCCAATGCACAAATCGGTGGCTCTCGCAGTTGAATCCTCCAGACTCCTTGGATTTTTTGTAGCGCAGCAGCTTGCGCAGTCACGCAGCTCCAGCTTACAACCCCAAATGACACATGTCACATGATTCGAAACAATGTGTCATATTTAACAAAAACACCAAGCAGGAAGACTGGACTGGCGTTTGCTCAGAAATATCCCATCAGCTTGTTGGATCTTTGGCACAGGGTCATCAGCTGCTCACTTGTTTACCCTCAAGACTCAGACGTTGAACAAAAGTTGGCTCGACCCACCAAATGGTGGTTTCTTTTGGAGGACCTTGATTCTTCCGGCTTTCCCCATGAGAAATTGAACACCCCAGTCCCTTTGATTGTTTTTCCTTGGAGGTGGGTGGTCAAGACCAACCACCAGCAAGAATCAAATAATAGATTACAGGGCTGTCCTCTAAAGTTTAACTTTTAGTGGGAGCATCGCCTGGCGGTAGATTCTGGTTCAATTGCCTCCATTTGCCTGAGTGCCTTGGCAACTGCTGAATAATTGTCTTCCCCCTAATTACCAAAAGTGCACCCTCTGTATAAATACTGTTCTTCCCAGACTCTCGGATCCCAAATACTACTTTTAGAATTGGCCAAGTCCAAAGCAATTCTAAAGTGACTGACTCCCTGCCAACCTGACACACCAAGACACAAGCTTCCTGTACTAAACGCACGCTAACCTGAATTGACGAAGCCAAGGTCCTTTGTTCCTCTTCGATGTTGTACTACAACCACTTGACGAAGTAACAATGTTGAACCTCTCCAAAACCAAACAAGAAACGTCGACCTTTTCCCTTTCAATGTTTGCACTATGCCGTGTTTACAAAGTTACAATTTGGGCCCTTTTCAAGGGATGACTACACTTGCTTCTCGGGGAGCTTCAAACCCCGAATTACCCTGTAAAAAATATTGTTTGGCCTCCAAGAAATATTTATTACTGGTGGAGCGGGGGTGTAATTATGCTTTGGAGGAAGGGATTCTTCCAGTACAGCATGCTTGTGCTAAATCACGGGCCTTCCCTTGTTTCACGCCTAATCTCAGGTTTGCTTGGCTCCTTTCCCAGAATCTGAACTATGCAGTTTGCGGCTGGTGCTCTTGATGCCCTGATGTTTAAACCACCCTTAAAACCACGGAGAAGGCAAATATAACCACCAGTGTTTACCTAGTCCCAAGATCCTTTCGATTGGCGGTTTGATTGCCCTAGGCTTAAACACCTAGTTACTCTTTAAGCAACCTCTTTATGTTTCTACTTTAACGAAACCAAGGTTGGGATGACTCAACACTTCTTAGAGCCTATTCTCACTTGCCCAAAGGACCTGGACATAGAAGCTGATCAACGTGGCACTAAAACAGGAAAACCCACAGCTTAAAAGGTCGATTCGCTGTGCGGGATTGTGTTTGGGGTCCCGGACAGGGGCTGGTTGATACAGATTTCGCTGTGGGTCAAAATAGGTACCCCTGAAATGGTTTGCCCATGGAAAGAACAACCTACAACCTGCGGTCCAAATCCTGGTGGCATAATTTTGACCCGTACCCATTTGTTTCGGAAACCACAAAAACCTTTCGCCTCGAGTGCGTCCATCTCTGTGCGAAGCTTCTGTTGGGCAGCAGCGCCCTGGTCGATGCGGCTGCCCAAGTCCTCGCTGACGCCATCTGACAGATACGCTTTGGCAGGTCCTAAGCAGCTATACTCAAAACACGGCTGTGGGTCAAATACCCAACATGGAAGCCTGTAAATGGAAACATGGACTGAAACCTGCGGTCCCTTGGTGGTTTAGTTTTGACTCATGCCCAAACCCCTTCTTCGGAATGTGCAACCAAACGAGGGTTTTCATAGAGTGGCTAGACGGTAATTATGAAACAAAGGGTATAATGCCTGCGACAGTTTGCGGCAATTTTGGCAACATGTGGCAGGTTGATGTAGCGCGCGTGAGTTTGCACAAACATGGTTTACCCCTTCTACATGAAAATTGATGCGGCATGTTGCGGCCAGCTCCGCGTGTGTAACGCAACATGGTGCAACCTGCATCAGCTTGCATTACTTTGCCTTACCTTTGACACATTCTGTTTGATACTGTTAAGCCGCCCCTGATTTCAAGGCAGATATTGTAGTCAGTTCACAAAGAGAGCCTGCTGCAAGCACCCTGAGGCACCTGTACAGGAAAGTCACATCGTAACTAATAACTGCCTTTGGGATAGGAGTTTTATACACTGACACATGGGTGTGGTTGTAAAAATAGTAGGGCAACCCCAACAAGGTTGCAGGGACAAATGGAAGGACTAAACCTGCGGTCCAAATCCTGGTGGCTGAATTTTGACCCATATCCGTACCCATATTCTCCTAACAGTGTCCCCTGGCTGTCAAGGGTTGCCCTATTTTAAGACACGCTTGCGCAAGTGAGCCAAGGAAAACCCACCCAAGCCGGCTACGGCCCCCTCCTCGATCTGCTTGGACAGATTCCTGGGGTCAATGAGGCTGCGTCCAGGACCGAAAACCATCTGGACAAAATACAAATACCCTGTAGACAGTGTAGATACCTCAAATGTAAAATGTTCCTCTTGTATCCAGGTTTTGCTAAACTAGGGGAATGTCGGGTAGCAAGCTAGAAATGCGGATGACGGCAAAGTTTACGCAAAGCTATTTCCCTTGACCAAATAGAACAAAGGCGAGACATGTTGCGTGCCTTCTTTGGGACGCCCTTTTGGGGACAGATGTTCCAAAAGCATGTGCTAAGCCACAGAGACACCATTGATGTAAGTCAAGTCTCGATGACAGGTTCACTGGACCCTTGGCTCACAGATGTGTTTGTCTCTTAACCACAGCTGGAAGCTTCAGCTTCCCTCGAAAAGGGGCCCGGTTTGGAGCCAACTTTCAAGCAACCCCAAAAGGATGCGCACGAAAAGCACGGAAGGGGAGGCATATCTCAGGCGTTTTTAGCTAGCAACCATTCTTTCTGCGGATCCTTCTTTCCGAAAAGCTACCAAAGACGAAGGGGAACGGTTGGTGGGGCGTTTCCCCTAGAATCCAGGCAAGCATGGGTGAAAATCACCGTTTTACTCAGATCTCCGTGCTTGCATTTCAGCTGCTCAAGAGGAAGTTCTTGGTCCCACAAATCGGTCGGTTTTGTTGGAGGATACCCCTTTGAGCGCAGATTGAAAGGAAAAAAACAAATTAGGTCCTCCAGTAGAGAGGTTAGACTAAGGGTACCCTTTTTTCTGTAATCTATTTTAGTAGGGGAGCCCTCCCAAAAAGGGCACTACTGGGGGACCTAGCAAAGGAAGCACGCCATATTTTGGCTTCGCCCACTTTAAGACACACCTAAAGGATGAAACTTGCTCAGGGAAATGCCCCTGAACGTTCAACCCACTTCAGGCGAGTAGGTGTCAACCATTGGTATCGGCTACAACTAGGGTTTTGTTACATGGCTCCAACATACGAAGTAATCAGCTGAAAGTGCAAGTGAGCATGTCTTGCTTTCCCGGGGTTGGTTTTCAGAGGGAACCAAAGGGTACCACACCCAGCCCAGCCACCCCAACAACCCAAACAGCGCAGCAGCACAACGATTAGCTAGGTCCTCCAGTAGAGAGGTGCGAACAAGGGCACCCTTTTTTCTGGAGTCTATGTTAGTAGGGGAACCCTCCCCAAAAAAGGGTACAAGGGCACTACTGGGGGACCTAGTACAACAAAACAACCGGGGTGCCGCAAACGGCTTTCCAGTCTCTTTTGGGGTGGCCATCTGGGTCAAGGGTCAAAGGGACATAGCATTCTGCAGCATTCGACATGGGGGGGGGGAAGGCCTTTGGGGCGTGTTTCGGCCCAAAATCGTGCTACCGGGAGTCTCCATACATGACCCCTAGAAAAAGGTGTCCATGACCCCAAAAAATTGGGCAATGACCATCCTTAACTAGACTCGAGGTTAGCAGTCTATTTTAGTATGGGAACCCTCCCCCAAAAAAGAAACGGCAAAAGGGCACTACTGAATCCAGATTCCAAAATTGGAGTCTTGACAGCGCGCTTGCGCCTCCCCTTTTTTTCATGCTTCCCCTGTTTTCCATATTTTTCCACATGTTTCCATGTTTTCCAATTTTTCATTTTTTGTCGCGTCTGCGCTTGTGACCCTTTCGCCTTCCCTCTCGCCGAGCCGCGCCAGCTCCACCTCCTGAACTTCCTGCGCCTCCTGCAGAGCTTTGAGCTGAGGCCTCGGATCGTGTCTCCCACTGCCCGGGGCCCAAACCAAAAATATGTTTCGCCGTTTCGCACTTCCCAAAAAGCGGCCTGGCCGAAAAGAAATACCTGGAGGCTCCTTCTGACCCGAAAGAAAAATGGGTCAATGACCCCAAAATTTTGGTAATGACCAACCATTTTTCAAGGGTCATGGAGACTCTAGGTATCCAAACACAAAAACCAAACTGGTCCTACAAATTGGCTCAACAAATTGGTCTGTTTTGTTGGAGGATACCCCTTTTCAGAGGATACCCCTTTTCTGGGTTGCTTTCTGCGAAGCCCTGCTAAAACGTTTTAACTCTTGATGATTTAATAATCAAAAAAACAATTGTTAGAAAGCAAGGTCAGCATTCCTTCCGCTCCTAGGTCCTCCAGTAGAGAGGATAGAATAAGGGCACCAACTTTTCTCTGTAGTCTATTTCAGTAGGGTCCCCAAAAAAAGTTGGTAAAAGGGCACTACTGGGGGACCTCGAATAACCAAACATGTAACCCAACTTCTTATTTCCCAGGCAAACCAGGCTACACTCTGGAACCAGGCCATGGATGGTTGCGAACTACATGTCGCACGTTCAAGCCATGGGACTCCTCATGTTTAGTTGGGATTTACAGGGCTTAGGTGCTGAATCTCAGTTGTTCAGTGACCCTGGAAAAAAAGGGAACCCTTTTTTGGGAAGACCATTTTAGTGGGGCAGCCACCAAAAAAAGGGGGGAAAAAGGGAGCCACTGGACAACTGAGGAATAGTGGCGAAATCGGGCCCTCCAAGTCGGACACAGCTGATGCTGTGGATGGTTGCGAAATCCTCTTAGGTCTTTGGCACCACCTAAGAAACCATGGAATGAGTTGATTCCCCAGCAAATGCCAACAAACAATGCTTTCAACCATGGATACAAAGTGGTGCAGGATTTCGTCCATCCACAGTAGGAACCCTCCAAACAGAATCAGTTGACCTAGTTTAATGAATCTCAATCATCTTGTCAAAAATGCTCGCTTCCGGAGTGGATTGGCCAAAGTACCCGAACTTTTCATTTACCATTAAAATGGTCCAAGCCCAAAAAAGTGACTAAAGTCCAGGAACTCAGGAAGAGTACAGGACATTTGTGGGGAAACTCGGAAGTTTGCTAGGAAACCAGGACATGTGTAGAATCAGGAAAATGGGGCACGGAAATTCCGACAAAGGGCGAGTTTTGGCCTTTCAGATTGCCAGCATCAACGCTCTTTTGAATCGTGTGGACCTAAGGGCGAAGTAATTAGAATGGGAGTTGCAGTTTGAAGCCTTGTTAGCCTTGACTACAGGCTAGGTCCTCCACAACTTTTTTCTGTAGTCGATGTTGGTAGGGGAACCCTCCCCAAAAAAGGGTAAAAGGGCACCTACCTGCTAGACTCAGCAGGGAAAACCGGCAGTCATGTTGCCTCTGTGGCTGGTTTCCCATACTTGATGACTGGCTAGGGCTTCATGTTAGTCCTTGCTTCCTGAATTGCTCAAGTGCCCAACTCCGACCTTTTCACCTCTCGATGATCGAGTTTGGGCTCAGATGTCGTCAAGGCCCCCTAAGGTCAACCTGTTGTTTTTGGTGTGGCGAGAGAGATTCAGTCTAGGTCCCCCAGTAGTTCCCTTTTACCCTTTTTTGGGGGAGGCCGTTCCCCAAATAAACCAAAGGGAAAAAAACACGCGGAGCCCATGTGGGTGCAACGTAAGGGCCCTTCATCATGCATAATCCTTAAGCAACCGGTTTTACCTTTAGCTGAGCTGGCCATCTATCATGCAAGTGGATGAGTTCTGACAACTTCTCCGCTCCAATCAACTATTGTTCTTCAAAAAATGTTCCCCTCGCTCTTGATGTTTTGCTTGGAAGGAAGGAACTGTTGCTTGCAGGTATTTTGTTTGTAAAGCAGATTCTTGGCCAAGACATGTCTGGTACACCAAAACCAAGTTCAAAATTAGTATACAGCAGAGCCTATATATGTTCCCGTTGCCCGTCGTCCCCAGCCCCCGCGGCTTGTGGGGCGGTTTGTGCCAGTGTGCGCACGACATTGCGGGCGCGTTTGCGGCTCTGGTCGTGTGTTGCGCTGCAGTGCGATTTGCTCATTTCGCAGCACGCGACAAGTTGCAGCGCTGTCGCAAGTGACAGTGCGCGATGCCACGACGCAGTTTGTGGTTTGCAGCGCCGCAACCAAGTGCTAACCAAGTGCGCTGCAACGCGCCAGTGGCAAACGCACTTTGCTACCTACTATAGACCCCAACCCCCATTCCCACGGGGGGCGGGCGGTGTGGGAACCATGGTCACACTGTACTACCCTCTGTCCCCGTCCATCCCACAGGAGGTGGGGAGGCTTGTGCTACCATTCTCCCAAAAAAATTGGGAACCATGGACCCCCCTCGACACCCATCCCACAGGGGGGTGGGGGGTTTGTACGGTCACACTGTGCTACCTTCTTGACTGAGCATGACCATTGCGGGGGGGGGGGGGTTGGGGGGTGGGGGGGGCCAAGGAAGCCTGGAACATTTATATATATATATATAATATGCATGTATAGTATGGAATGTTCCCCCCCCCCCCCCGAACCTGCCATCCTTGAATGAAATCGGTCCATAGGGAATACAACCCAATATATCCAGCATGACCCACTTGGAGGGTCCTTTTTGGAAAATGGATAACAATTCCTGGTAAACCAGGAATGGCCCAATTAAATTCTTCAACCAAACCAAGAGGGAGACCTATGGAACCATGGAGCATACCACTGGAGAAGAAGCCTTGGCCCAACAAACACCTTCTACCAGCTGCTTCCGGCTCAGACAGTTTAGACACAAGCCCCAATGAAAGAGTTTCCCTTGATCTTTGACCCACCTCCCAGTGAACATCCCAATCCCAACTATAGACTAAAATGGGTGGTGCCCCTACCCCAAAATGGTACCATTGGTGTTGACCCACAGCCGTATCCATGGCTATAACTGGGGGTTTCAAAACAAAGTGGGGCCAAGGCCCTGGTGCTTCGAAGCGTCTCAGCCCAAAGGAGCCCTGTGCTGAAAACAAAAAAGGTGACGCTTGGGCCATGACAAGAAAGGAACCAAACATGGGAAAACTAAAACTAGGTCCTAAAACCAGGTCGGTTTTGCTGGAGGATACCCCTTTGAGCGCAGATTGAAAGGAAAAAACAAACTAGGTTTTTCAGTAGAGAGGTGCGAACAAGGGTACCAACTTTTTTCTGGAGACTATTTTAGGGGAACACTCCCCCCAAAAAGGTAAAATCAGGTCGATTCAAGGTCAGATCAGGTCGATTCGCTGCGATTGCAAGTGAGAAGTCGGTTGAACATGCTGGCGCTAGAAGTTGCCATCGTCGTCCAAGGCGCTCAGAGACCCCGTTCTCCGCCTCCTTCTTGGCAACCTGGCAACAACAAAAAGTCTGCCATTGCCGGAGCGACGCAAAGGGGGAGCCGTTGAGTCGTAACATCAAGAAAACTTGGGTGACAGTCAAGTGGGTTGATGGGTTTGTTGTCTGCCACTATGGTTTTCCCAAAAATGAGTGTCTTTGTTGAAGGCACCCTGTCCAACGTGGTTTCAAGGGAACACAAAATAGAACACAACCATGGAGTCGCCCCGTTTGGACGCGTCCGAAAATGGGTTCTATCATACGTATGGGTTCCTCTCAGATGCTACACAAATGATTGCCCCTTGGCGCCGCTGATTAGACGCCGTTTGGGGATCCCAACATAAAGGGACACCATGTAACAAGGATCTGGGCAATTCGCAAACCGCACACTATAGGAAGTTCTGACCCACCTGTATCGTCTGTGAGATTGGTTTGTCCCCGGGCGAGCTTGATACAACTTGAGCAAACAGCTCCAGGATCCCTTTAGAATGGACCCAATTTCATTAGTTGGGCCCCGTATTTCAGGGATCGACTTCCTTTTGCCTGCTGGAATAACGGATTCCTTTTTTGAGAAGCCCAACGAAGGAAGCTCGTCTGAAGGAACTCGGCTGCCCTCAAAATCGATCAACTCCTTGCAACGGAAAACATGCCTTTACACATTCAAGGCTGACCTGCGGCGTGCGACTCAGCGCGCGACTCAGTGCACCGTATTTTCCAATTCGTTCACATCGAAAGCATCGACTCACTCGCCCAAAGGACCCAGAAGTAAAATCTTGACCTTATGGGGCCAGGACGAAAAATGGACCAACAAGGTCGAACATTTAAATTCGCTTTGGGCAAGCAAGTCAAAAGGCCATGTCTTTCTTTACAGGGGTGGGACTTCGTCCGGCCAGGATTCGAACGGAACGACTCCCGGACCTGTACATTGGACGGTCCCCCCATTTTGGCCTTTGCAAGGTTCAAAAGGGTGATCTTTAAACCACCCAAAAAGCGAAATCGCGCGAAACCTGTGCGAAAAACTAGCGATCTTGTGTCAGCTCCACCCAGCTCCTGGATGCTTCTCCGTTAGGAGCCAAATGTACAACTTGCACTTGGGTGTTACCTAAATTAACCAGGTCAGGTCCTCCAGTAGAGAGGTTAGAATAAGGGCACCCGTTTTCTGTAGTCTATTTTAGTAAGGGAACCCTCCCCCCAAAAAAAGGGTCAAAGGGCATTGAAAGGCCTTGCCTACTTGTTAAACACGCAATCACAACATATCTTGGATGTAGTTCTGTTTGTGTAGAACAAACCTCCTTGGACGGTGTTCCTTCGGTTTGACAACCTTTTCACGGTTGCTTTCAAACGGCAACCAAGCGAACATTCGCCACACAGCAGAGATCTGCAGTTTTCACTTCACTACTCCCAAACCGGACATAAGGGATGCCCAGGACCTACATCAGGTGAGCTCCTGTTGTGTGAACTCGCAAGAAACACTAGGCAGATATTCTCCAACTTTGGGAAACACCCTCTCCACTCGTGGGAGATTCTTCCATTCCTTCGCCGGAAATTGTCACGCTCAACAGCACTGTACATGGCCCGGATCCGACATCCGACTCTCAGCCCAGGGAAGTTCCCTTGAACAAAAAGCAGAATTTACACATTACCACCCGTGTTGTTTTTTTCAATATCAAGGCTGATTTTAAAGGGAAACCCTTCCAAGGCAACATATGATAAGAATTGCAACCCGCTGGGCAAGTCGGGATTCGTTAGTTTTCGGATCGGCCGCTGTTTTTGAAATCGGAAGCGTGCTCTTTCCATGCAGGCAAGCCGTTGTGGCTGCCTCAACACCTGGCTCTGAACTCACCGACCCTCCACACACACCACAACTGGCTGAGCATCAAATATCAAAAGGTTTGAAGGTCGGCAAGGTCGACATCAACTTGACCTTCCCCAAACCAGCCGCCGGCTTTGATTCGATTGTCCCTCCAGCAAGCATGAAGCTAAGCTCGCCAAACTCCAGGGAAGCAGAATCACATAGCAGATCACCTGGGTCAAGTCTCCAGAAAACCCATAAAGGGCTCAGATTTTAAACAGGGATCCGGATGCATTACACACCTGAACATTGCAACTTGTAAATGGCGGTGTCCAACTTTATTTTGGTGTGGAAAAAGCAACATGTTTCAAATGGTTGCAAAATGGAGATCTTTTCAGGAGCCCTGTAAAAGATTAACCTTTTGAGACCACACAAGGGACCTGAAGATCCAAAGATGAGCTTTGGGCAAAGTGAGATGTGGGTGTGATATTTAAATGGGCACCCTTTGGTGGACATCATTTAGGTGGGGATTCATGTGCACTTGGGTGTATCCCTATTAAAACTCATCGCCATGTAGACTCCCGATTCATAGCAACAAGCACGCAATGCTTCATATTCATGATGCCCTGACATTGGCTTTGGTCGGGGTCTGACTAAGCCTGCGAATCGCAACTCATGCCCTGATGTGAGTGACGGTGAATGACTTGCCATTTGCTTCCAATA